AGAATTTGTTAGGAAATTATCAAATCTCACCCTTGACAGGTTATTTTTCAATAATTTTGTGCTAACAGCCAAAACATCAAGCTTCTGAAGCAAAATTACAAAGCAACCAAAGTTACAAAGAAGAGTAATGAAAAGAGTTCTACTAATACTAGAGCTGCTACCCCCAAATGTAATAAGTAAAGTCAGTCAGTATGAACTTTATAAATCTGTTATAATCACAAGGGAAAACAACATCCTACCTTTGTTAGAAAAAGGCAAATGCTGCAACTGAGAAAATAAGAAATCCTGGCTGGTTCTCAAGTATCTCATAGTAGGACCAGATGTGTCAGAGCAGGCACATAACTGATATATCACCTAAAGATTTAAAATAAGAAAATCCCCAAATCACCTTTTGTTAAAAAATTGAAGGAACATTTGCTTGTGACATTATATAGATCTCAGGTGTAAAGAATTAAAAGGCAACATCTGTATATACTACAGCATGTATGCCACCAAAAGTCTATTTTCCATACTACCAAAATCATTTTCTGTTATACATTTTTAGAAAAAAGGTAAGATAGATAATTAAGAGTGAATGGGCTCAAGCAAATAGATAAAATAGAAACTCAGAGTTATAAACAATCCTTGGGACCGTAGTTCAAGGAAATATATTGGGATATTATAGAATGCTGTGACATTAGTAGAGAACTGATCTTGAAATGACACACAAAAATTTAACAAAAAATAGGGCCTCCCCGGTGGCGCAGCAGTTGGGCGCTGGGTTGCGAAGCTGCCCGCGGCCTCTGCGGCGTCAGTTCGATCCCCGGCTGCTTCCCGGCCACCAGAGGAGGGTCCCACATGGTGCGCAGACCTCTCCTGCCGCCCGCTGCTCCCCTCAGCAGTGTACTTCGGTCCTTCTGCCTGCTCTGCTCCCCGCTCTGGCTCTGGTGAATTCTCTCACCCTCCCGCACTCTGACTGTACCCAATGATTGTATAAATAAATAAATAAAATAAATAAATCTTTAAAAAAAAAAAAATTTAACAAAAAATAATAGAATTGGAGATAAAAGCTTTGATCTCAAATATAGGAAAAAGTGAATATAATATGTATAAAGAGCTCCATTAGGTTTATGAATATCATAAAGATGTAAATAGATAAAATGGCAAAAACATTTTAGATGAAGAAAAACTAAAATAGCCTATAATCAAAGAACTATGTCCATCCTTTTCAGTAATAAAAAAAAATCTGGGCAATATTAAGGCAGGTGTCTTACTGTAAATCAGCAAAATACTGATTTTTTAATTTTAATACTGATTTTTTAATTGCAAAAATCAAATTCCAGTATCTGGCAAAGGAGTAGTGAAAACTTCCATGACTGATTCATTTTATTACTATTCATTGTTTTTCATACATCAGGCACTTCAGATTCATCTATTATTGACACCATTTAATATCTATTGCAATTGTTACAATTACTTGCAAATTAAAATCTGAACTCATAAAAGTATTCATATTCTTTGACCCAACATAGTCTTCATTAACAGATACCATATTTGCAAATTCGGGTACATGCTAAAGTTTATTTCTAACTCCAAAATCACTTCTTGTGCTTTGGGAGTCACTCACAGAAAGGCAAAGAGCAGCAAAAATTCCAGTCACCCAACTTGCACATTCTCAGCTGAAATTGAACAAGCTGCCTTTTTGTTTCAGGCTTTTTAACGCTATAAACACGAGTCTTTGTCACAGTCTATTTATTGCCCTGTTTTTCACCTTCTTTGTACTTTCTGTGAGTGATCTTACTGTTGCCCGCAAGCACAGTGCTGATGTCCTGTACAAGGTTCCTAAGAGCAAGGAGCCTATGATGAGCCTCACAAGGAAAGCTAGGTCTGAGTGTCAAACTCCTGCCATGGGTTCAATGTTAATGAATCAACAATAAATGTTAAATCAAGTGTCATGAAACAACACAGAGAAAACAAGGTTATGTATTCATCAGTTGATGAAAATGTTGCTATCAGAGGTTTGCAGAAATCTCATCTTATGTTTTCCCTAGGAACACAAGCTCAGTATTTACCAATTTAGTGTTCTGTGACTTTTATAAACAGATAACAATTGACTATAAATCCATGTCTAGTTACAGATTAAAAATATACAACAAAAGGCAACTACACACTAGAGCAGAGTAACAAGCAGCAAACAACCTAAATGTAACTTACATTGTAGAAGCATAGAAAGTACATAGAAAGAGAGGAAGGGCACAAAATCGTATGGCTACTGCATATAACTAAAGAAATATGCATTCTTAAGGAAAAAGGGAGCACAAGGTAAAAAGTAGTTCTATTGCAGATGTATGCTAGTCTTTCAAACAGCTTTGATAGTGTTTTCCATGCCCTATAAAAAAAATTTAAGAAGCTAACACTGAACTTCACAAAGCAAAACAATAATCAGCATCTATATCAGATGACCAGTTAACAAGACACAGGAATAGATGCTCAGAGATATGGGAGACAGAACACTGTTGGAGGAAGGACAAAAAAAAGTGAGTCGCAAGCCATTTAATGGGTATGTGCCCGGTCCCCTTTCTAGCTCTCAGGACCAGGCAGGAAAAATCTCCATTCTTGAAAAGGCAAAGGCATGAGATTCAGTTTAGACTTTTTCACCCTGAAGACCTTCAATTGCTGGATGATTAAAGTATCAATAAAGCCCAAATTATTTCCCTTTGCTCAGGTTTACTGAAACTAACAAACTCTTCTTAGAGGTTTGGATTTCTTTCTCAAGCCCAGTGAAGTATACACCCATAGGTGAAGAAAGCATGTTTCATTAAAAACAGAACAGTGCTTCTTGTTAAAACTCTGGGTTCTACTCAGCAGGTCTGGAGTGGACGAAGATTCTGTACTAACAAGCTCCCAGGAGATGATGCTCATGATGTTAGTCTGCATTCTGAGTAGCAAAGTCACAGAGCATATGTTATAAAACTGGCAGGCTGCTGGGATACACATGCTGTGTTTGGCTAGAACAGTGGTTTAAAAAAATCAGGGGCTCTAGCTACCCTGGCATGTTTTCCTCCATGGTAAAAACAAGCAGGTGCTGAGAGGCAGGGCACATACTCTCCTGCTGTCAGATTCTTCTCTCCCTTCCTCTCACCACCTTTTTGTCTTAAATATGGCTTCATTCTCTTCACCTGCCTAATGAGTAGTTTAGATGAGTAAGTTGATTCATTACTTCTACCTATGTATGTCAAATTCTGTAACACTGTGTTAAAATGAAAATGTACATCAAGTTTGACCTCCCCCCCACCCCATTAAGTAAGAATGAAGTTTGACTCCAAGAAAGACCGAGCAGCAGTACTTACAGTGAAAGGGTGTGTGGGCAGCCAGAGCACAGGAGAACAACAAAGAAAAATCTCCATGTCACTAAAAGCTAATTATGTATTTCTTTATGATGAACCTGTGAATCTGGGTTCCATTTAAACTGAGAAATTAGTGATGCTCTATAAAGTCTACTTCTTAAACTAATAGTTATAAAATGAATAATAACAATAAAGGTAAGAATTAAGCATAAATAAATGAAAAAGTAGGGCCTCCCCTGGTGGCACAGTGGTTGAGCGCTGGGCTGCGAGGCTGCCCGCGGCCTCTGCAGCGCCGGTTCCATCCCCAGCTGTCGGGCGAGGGTCCCACATGGTGCGCAGACCTCTCCTGCCACGCCCACTGCTCCCCTCAGCAGTGTATTTCGTCAGTCTGTCTGTTCTGTTCCCCACTCTGGTGAATTCTCTCACCCTCCCGCACTTCTGACTGTACACAGTGCTTGTATAAATAAATCTTTAAAAATAAATGAATGAATGAATGAATGAATGAATGAATGAATGAAAAAAGTAATTCAACTTTCTAACACCTCAAATAGCTACAGGACTACATAATTTACATGGATCTTGAAAAGCACTTTTACCACATTCTTATTTAAGTCTCACAACAGTCCATTTCATAGATTAAAAAACTCAGAGACGTTTGTATGGCATGCCCAAGCTGACTTAGCTAGTTAAGGGGGGTAGAGGTAGGAATCAAAGTCTTCTGACCCAATTCTACTGCTCTCTCCACTAAAAGAAAACCAACTTGAAACAAAGCATCATTGGAAAGTTTCTACACTACTTGGTCATTATGTTACAAAAATTAATTTCCCTCATGTTTCAAGTCAGTGGTACATTGGATCTGTAAATTTAAAGGATCCTGGGCCTCCCCAGTGGCACAGCGGTTGAGCACTGGGTTGCGAAGCTGCCCGAAGCCTCTGCAGCACCGGTTCAATCCCCGGCTGCTCCCCGGCCACCAGAGGAGGGTCCCACATGGCGCGCAGACCTCTTCTGTTGCCCGCTGCTCCCCTCAGCAGTGTACTTCCATCCTTTTGCCTGCTCTGATCCCCGCTCTGGCTCTGGTGAATTCTCTCACCCTCCCACGCTTCTGACTGCACCCAGTGCTTGTATAAATAGATAGATAGATAGATAGATAGATAGATAGATAGATAGATAGATAGATAGATAGATAGATCTTAAAAAACATATTAAATTTAAAGGATCCTAAGATTTGTGTTTTATGGGTTTTAAATGAAAAACTGGTAAACTACAACATTAACTCATTTCAATTCAGTCTTACTGTTCATTATACTACCATAACTGTGGTGTAGCCAAGGAGCTAGTTAAATTGCTTCTGTTCAGGCCCACAAAGAGCAGGCTTCTGTATACCTGGTAACACAGCTCAGCGAGTTGAGGGGATTCTCTCACTGCCACCGGGCCTGTCCTCCCTTCAGTTCCTTTCTCCAAGATGTTGAGGATAGCATGAAGGCACGTCCGTGGGCAACCTAACACGCCTACATGAGACCAAAAGGAAACTCCGTATTTAAAATTTCTGCATTAAGACCCTTAAATTATTCTTACAAAAGTTAAAATTCTATAACATGTGCAATACTGTAAATACCCTTTCAAATACTGATAAGGAAAACTGATGGATACTAATTCTCTCTCTTTTTTTTAACAGTGGAGAGCATGAACACAGTCCCCCACTACCACAAATTAGGCAGTCATTTCCCACATTTGGGGAAATTGCAGGGGTCAGCACATCCAGAGTGTAATGGATGAGTCTCGCCCCAGGGAAACCAACTTTGTGGTCATGGTATCTCCCCTGCCAGGTAAGTAAGATAGATACTAATTTTCTCAGACTTGCTTTGTCTAGGCCCGATCTAAGTCATCAAGGTAAACCCATCACATAACCTTCATTATTCACTTCAGTGACTTAGCCCACAAGCCCAATATTCAATAAATCACCACTTAGTCACCTAAGCATGAAAAGAAACAAAGGCCTACGTGTCTTATAGCTGTACCTGGATCCTGAAGATTTGTGGTACTGACAGGCTTTTTTAATTCAAAGCCCAGTAGATAGAGAGCAAGACTGGGTGGATTTCTTTCCAAAGAGGTGATGAGAAGATTCAAGATGTAGATTCTTGTTTCATGACGGATTCCAGCTAACTTCTTTTCAAGTTCTGACCCTTAATGTGGAAATCATAAGACAAAATTAAAAATAAGTAGTTAACATAAATCAACTTTAGGGCCTCCCCGGTGGCACAGCGGTTGAGCTTTGGGTTGCAAAGCTGCCCGCAGCCTCTGCGGCGCCGGTTCGATACCCAGCTGCTCCCCGGCCACCAGAGGAGGGTCCCACATGGTGCGCAGACCTCTCCTGCCGCCCGCTGCTCCCCTCAGCAGTGTACTTCGGTCCTTCTGCCTGCTCTGCTCCCCGCTCTGGCTCTGGTGAATTCTCTCACCCTCCCGCGCTTCTGACTGTACCCAGTGCTTGTATAAATAAATAAATAAATCTTTAAAAAAAAAAAAAAAAAACAAACCATAAATCAACTTTAAAAATATGAAACTTGTGTTCCAAACCCCCACATTTTCTTTGGTTCCAGTTTACCCAACTAGCCATGTTGATTTCAGATTTGTTTAGAGACTTCTCAAGTCTTACACATTAATGTTGGCAGATTCTCAATTTTCCTTACATTACCGCTAGACTGTTAACAGTTTTTGAGAATTTTTTTCTTTTATTAAGTTTTTATGTAAACTAAAATATATAATACATGTCAATCTAAGACATACCCTCTTCTAGACGTACAAATTCTTCTGTATCTTCACTATCCAAACACTCTACAAATCCAGCCATCAGCTTCTGACTTACACTCTGAAGTTACACAAAGATTAAAAAATGACAAATTATAAAAAGTTTATAAATTATTAGAAAAATGATAAACATAATACATGTTTATAAGCATTTATCTATAAAGATAAAAGGAAATCTGCTTAAAACAAAGGAATTGGGTTTTAGTTGTTATTAATAGAAAATACGGTTCCTTAAATTGCCACAAGTCAGCTCTCTGTAGAAAAAAATTAGACACAATTATAAAAATTTATTGATTTCCAAATGTGGTTCCCTAATTATCCTCCCCAAAGATTCAAACTAGTTTTTCTTAAAAAAAAAAAAAAAAAAAAAAAAAACCACATTAAATTGGCCTTTCTTGACCTCTTTGTTATATATTCATCATTATGAGAGTTTAACTAAAATATAATTCTTACCTTCTCTCCTAGGAAGTGTATTACTTATCACCTGTTTTATACCTCTGAGACATTAAATACTATTTACCTCCTTAAGAAATTCAGTAGGATGTTAAAATCATTAACGGTAATTTATATTAAAATGAATGCCAGTAAACTGAAAATCTTAATCTTCAATATCCCTGGATTATCTTGTGATTTCATGAACCTCATCTAAAAACAGATCTGATATCAATATTTTACTATAGTGGTTCTCAACTAGCTGATATTGCCATCCCAGAGATCACTTAGCAATATGAAAGGGCATCCTGAGTTATAACAAATAAAGGTTACTACATAAGCAGAAAGTAGCTAGGGAACAGTTCTAAGAGTTCTGCAATATTAGGGATGGTTACTACAAAACAAAGATCTATTTCATCCAAAATACTAGAAAAATCTGTTTCAAAACACTGACGCACATACAATAAAATCCTTCAACTAGCTAAAGTAGTGATTTCCAATATAAAGATACAATGAGAAACAAGTCTATAAAAGGGAGTGTGGGGGGAGATGGGAAACAGCAGTAGCCCAGTTGTAGTTATTCAGTGAATAGAAAGAGAACTTACAAAGTTCATTATCTTTGATATCAGTGCATTATCACTTGATGTGACACAAATGTGGGCCAACAGAAGGTCACAGAAATAGACAATGTACTACAGTCAGACATTTAGATTTAGTCTCAGCCAGAACATAGGCAACTGACTTAAGGTTGAAACAAAGATGAAAAAACAGTTACAAACCTAACCGTTCTAATGTACTCTTTCATTAAGCCGTATAGTCACACATTATTGTACCAAAAAGTATAATCACAGAGTAGATGCAGTATCACTGGAAATAGTATTATCTTCAAAAACAAATCCCAATTCAGGACATGGGCAGATTTTTACCCACTGTATATAAATATACTTACTCCTAGAGAATTTTTCCACAAACAAAACTAAGATTCTTCTACAGACACATCCATATATACTCACAATGCACAAAAATAACAACAAAATCAGTTACCTGGTCATGTGTGAAATCTCCAACCAATTTTATCTGAATATTGGAGTTGCAAGAGATACAGCAGAGGATCTTGGCACTCTCAAAAGCCAATTCTGGATTGTTATTGCCATGATACAGATACCTTTAAAAGAAGAAAACATTTGAGTAGCAATGCAGTGAAACTTTTGTCTTTTCATTATGCTCAATAAAAAACACTTAGACCAATGCTTCTTCTACCCATATAGTATTTTTGGGTAAATTAGACAAAGGTTTCCCCTTCTAAAAAGATGCAGCCTGTTAGGGGTTGATTTGTATTTGTTTCCTTCACAATGCATATGGTGATAACAAACCCAACAACTTCCAAATAAGGGACCTTATTTGGAAATAGGCTCTTTGTAGATGAAATCAATTGTGATAAGAGGTCATTAGATAGGGTCCAAATTCACAATTTAATGTCCTTATAAAAGGGGAGCATTTAGAGAGAGACAGAGACACACACACAGAGTGCCACGTGAAGCTGAAGGCAGAGATCAGGGTGACGCTTCTACCAGTCATGAAACACCAAACACTGCCAGCAAACTACTAGAAGTTTGCTCCCCAGTCCCATCCTCCAAACATCCAACCCCTATAGTAAACAAACAATATGAAAATTATGTCACTTTATACTTAGAAATGTTTAGGACACAGAATACAGTTTCAGAGTAACTAACATCAGAGGAGCTAAAAGAAAGCAAGAATAAAAACAGGCCGCAAATGTAGAAATCAAAGCTAACAGGCCCATTTATTTCAAAGAGCCTATTTTTCTACTACAAATTGTACTTACCTGGCAATATTCACCACATTATCTGCCTTCTTCGTTCTGGGATTAATTCCCTGCAATAGCTGTTCCAAAGGAGAGACTATCAGAGCCAGTTGACTCTCTCTTAAAAGATCCATGAAAAGGTTTTCCTTTTGTAGAGTAAGATTGAGAAGTGCAAGACAATGCTGTACTGCTCTCTCCAAGTGTTTCTTCCCTAGAGAGCAAAACTGAAGTTAGAAAGCTCCACATGAATCTTAGAAAATCAGTCAGTTCTTAGGAAAACAAGATGAAGAATTCTAGATTCTAAAAGCCTTCCAGTTTTCAAGCTTTCAGCAGGAACCTCACACAAGTGCTTGCCCATGCAAGTCAAGGTAACACTTGTGACCCAGGTTACTTTTCTGCAATGGCTTCTCAGTCATGTTTCCTGTAATTTCCCCCTATTAGTTGTCAGATGAGAATTAATCTGGCCCCAGAGGGTACTTAGCTATGTCTGGAGACACTTCTGGTTGTCACAACTGAGAAGGTGCCACAGGCATTTTAGTGGGTAGAGGCTTAGAATACACAGGATTGCCCCCACAGCAAATAATTAGTCAAAAATGGGGGCCTCCCAGGTGGCACAGCAGTTGAGAGCTGTGCTGCGAAGTTGCCCGCAGCCTCTGCAGCGCTGGTTCGATCCCGGAACGCCGGCGAGGGTCCCACATGGCGCGCAGCAGACCTCTCCTGCCGCCCACTGCTCCCCTCAGCAGTGTACTTCATCAGTCTGCCTGTTCTACTCCCTGCTCTGGCTCTGGTGAATTCTCTCACCCTCCTGCGCTTCTGTCTGTACCCAGTGCTTGTATAAATAAATAAATAAATCTTTAAAAAATAATAATAATAGTCAAAAATGTCTATGGTGCTGAGACTGAGAAACTAAAGGAGTGATTTCCAAAATAAAGCTACGATGAAATACATCTGTTTTCACTTTTAATATACATATTAAATAAAATAATAAATTTTTATGTTATGACTCACTGACAATATCACTATAGATACAGAGAGAACATTACCATGTAAAAGAGCTTCAGGGATCATCTATTTCAAGCCATCAGTTTACAAAAGATGAAACTATCAAAGTTGTTTCCAAGACATGATGACATTCAAGCACATACCTGGGAAAGGAGCATAGGTGTCAAGCTGCTTAACGCCTTCTTCCAGTAAACTAAGGGCAAGTTCCAACATCTGTGACTCATTCAGAAGATGATACATCAGACTAAAGCCTGGTGGCTTATAGGCTATGATTTCTTCTCCTAAAGAAGACATAGCAGAGTCTTACAGATGGTGAATTGGCGTTTTTATTATATCCTCAATAACACAGTATCTATGAGATTTGTAAATTAAATAGCACCTAAACAGATGATGGCAAGTTTCAATTTAGAAACAATAACACAAATTGTATACACTGGAAAATCTTCAAAAAGCCGATATGGACACAGCAGTTAGTCACTAATTATAAACATGTAAATGTTAACTCATTAGAGAATCTGTAAGGCAGTGCTCTTGATCCTCCAACCAGTACAATTTGACTTTATTTTCTCTTACTCAGGACAATTAAAATGAATAAAATTATGTTACAAAAAAGATTAAATTTCAATTTAAATTTATAAACAAGTTATTTATAATTTACATATATAATTTATAAATTATACCTAGCTTTATAAATAACTGACACCTTATTTTTTTGTATATTTTTCCTTGGCCATAAAATGACAAATTATGTTATAAAAATATGTTTATCT